ATGAGTGGATAGCAGATCCGGTTTCAAGAGGTCCCTAGTTTAGGTAAACCACAAATGGATGGACTAAGTTTACACAAAGGTTTTCCCAAATTCTGGTTGTTTTCAATTCTGCCCAGTATTTTGTAAATTTGGTATCTGGAGTTACAGACCTCCAAATGAGGTAAATTTTATATAATTTTAAAGCCTCATATGTCTATTTTCTATCATAAAAATTTCAGGTCAATCGGTGAGGTTTTCGAATTATTATGATTTTCTGAATAAAGGAAATTTTTCTTAGTTTCACCTCAAACGTTTTCTGTTAAAAATTATTATCCGTTAATGAATTATTTTTGTTTGCGCTCAAATATAATCAAACAGACGTCCTTCCAGACGTGTATGGATAGAGATGTCACAATTTCATATTAATTTTTTATATTTTTTTGGGCTAATCAAAAAAATTTTAAGCTCACTCAATTTCATATGAATGGATGCATCATAGGTGCAATGAGATTAAATTTACACCATTCCTATGTATAATTACATTCTTGAACCCTAATCTCAATTTTTCCCAAGATTAGTTTTAGAAAGAAATAGGTTTTTTTTTATTTTTCCTAATTTTAATAAATTTGATGACGACTTCATTGTTGTAAATAATTTTGATTGTCATCTTGTCGCAATACTGGTTGTCGTCCTGTGATTTTTCTCCTCGCAAGGGGTTTTTATTTTTTTATTTTAGTAAAATGCTTTTAAAAAAACTAAATACAATGTGACCCTGACACTCAATCAAAACCAATTTAAATTTGATTAATTGAATTTAATTAGTTTGAATTAAATAATTTTTTAAAAACGACAGTAATATTTTCTTACTATTCCTACCGCGTCCCTCAGAAACTAGGGGTGTGCATGACAACCATTCTATTCCTTAGCACTATTTCTGAAAAGAAGTAATTCTTTTCAATTTCTATTCCTTGGAATAATTTCTGAAAAAAAAATATGTTTGATAACATGTTTTATTTTTATTCCGAGAATGAGAATTGCTGATAACACAACAAATAATATAATAAAAAATAATTCCAATTAAATATAAAAAATTTTGGAACATCACTTTCCTTTCCATATGGTGTGGTTGAGGTGACGGTGACGGCGGGGGGTGACATGGTGGTGATGGTGGTAGTGACGTGGTGATGGTTGTGACGGCGGCGATGGCGGTGGTAATGATGGCGACGGTAGTGGTGGGGATGGTGGTTGGTGGCAGCGACAATGGTAGCGGTGGCATGGTTGTGGTGGTTGTGATGACATCATGGAGGTGGTGATGGTGGCAGTGGTTGCGGTGGTGGTGGTGGTGATAGTAGGTGACTGTGGTGGCGGTGGTGATGGTAGTGGCGGAGGTGGTGTAATGGTGGTGGTGACGGTAGTGGTCGTGACGATGGTGGTGGTGGTTGGTGGCGGCGACGGTGTCAGTGTGGCTGCAGCAATAATAGTGGTGGTGGTGATGGTAGCGGTGGCGTTGTAGTGGTGGTAGTAGTGGTGGCGATGGTGGTGGTGGCAGTGGCGTGGTGATAGCGATAGTGGCGGTGGAGGCAGTGGTTGTGATGATGGTGGTGGTGGTTGATGGCGGTAGTGGTGATGGTGGTGGGGACGGTGACGGTGATAATGGTGGTGGTGGTTGCAGCAGTGGTAGTTGTGGTGGTGGTGATGGTGGCATAGTGGTAGTGATGGGTGGAGGTGGTGGTGATGGTGGCGGTGACATCGTGGTGGTGGGGGTGGTCACGACAGCACTAGCGGTATGGCGACGGTGACAACAATGGTGGCGGTGGTTGTGTTGGGATCATGGTGGTGGTGGTGGTGGTGATGATGGTAGAGATGGAGAGTGATTAAGAGAGATAACTATTTCTCATTTTGTGCCCGAGAACAAAAAAGCAGAAATTTTTTGATTCTTTTTTCTCTTCCCCAGCACAAAAATTAATCCGGTTCATCCCGAGAATAAAAAAATAAACAGATTTTACCAAACGAGTTTTCTATCCATTTTTGTTCTCGGAAACAAAAATTAAAAAAAAAAAATAATTCTGAAAAAATTGTTATTCACACCCTAGCTAAGCCGAAAGTGACTTTTGTTGTTGTTAAAACTATTACTTTTTTGTTTTTATGACATTGTTCATGTACTGATAACAAAAATTATTTTAATCATAAATTATTTGACACGCACAACTTATCAAAATTAAATGTTTAATTAATATCAAGAAAATATATTAAATTCTCTTAAATAACTGGCTTAAATAAAGTGTTTAAGTACTATGGGAACTCAAAAGTATTTTTTATTTATTGTCTTGAGTCGGAATACAGTTTAAGTAAATTGATAGTTTTTGGTATCAAGTTACGTATTTTAATTATTGAATTGTTATTTATAAAAACTTTTTGAATTTTTCTTTTCTTTTTTAATTATGGAGGTATTCCTATTTAATCTTTCTCTTGTCACTTTGCCCTTGAAACCTGGCAACGAAAGCTAGCTCCTCGTTAATATAGGTGTTAGTTTATTTTCTAAACAAGAATTATTACCTATTATGTGGGCTGATATGTTTACTGACTTTTGTTTCAGTTTGGGTTATTTACTGTATTGGGCCAATGAATATTTTGTGTTGGTTTGCTAAGGCCCACATGCTGGTCATTTTGTTAATAAGCATATGAGTAACAAAAACGCACCGTTTCATTCTCTTGGCTACTGAGTTAATGATACATATGTGCTGATGCGTTGAAAACCGGATTAAGATACACTTTTTTATTTTCTTCGTTCTCTGATAAAATCGTTCTTGAGAGAAGAAACTTAGGGTTTGTTCGTGAACCTTGGTGAGGCATTTTGAGGAAGATAAACTGAGAATCTCATCTCGGTTCTTTGGTGAGAAGTGATCCTTGTGTCAAGGAGAAGCTATTGTTCGGTGCATTTTCTGGAGATTCATCATACAGCCAAAGAAGATTGAGCATGGTGACGTTCCCAACTTGAGAAGAGGGATTCGTGTGGTTGGAGGAGCTGGAGACACTGGTGCTTGGTGTTTGCTCATAGTCTTGGTGATATCTTTCTCTATTTCTTTGCTGTTGATGATCTTTCTTTGTCATTTGATATACATCTGTAACCTTGGTTATCTTCCTCGGTTATTTGTCTTGTAATATTTGTATCTGTATTTCTGTTTTGCTGGATTTGCTGAACATAATTTTTGTACTATTCTGTTCTGAATATTAGTGCATGCTAGAGGGCGTTTGACCCTCACTGGCCAACTTGGATGTAGGAAATTCTTTTACAAAGAATTTCTGAACCAAGTATAAATTCTGGTGTTGTTCTTTATGTTTTCTCTTTCTGCTAGTTGGTTTTCTGGGGTGATTCTTGGTAGCTCTATACCAAGAATTGTAACAATAGGGATACATTGAATAGTTCTCACTAAAATGAGACTAATTGCCGTCAAGATTTAGAGTGCAAGAATATCATCTATGACCTAAAGAACGTTTACGGATTGAACACATGGGCACAGTTGTCACTCCGAACTTTTTTAGATATGTATGATATAATAAAAAGTTAGATTGTCAACGAGGGATAATTTTTTTTTTTTTTTTTGTATATACGAGGGATAAATTTTTAGTATCACTATTGTATCAAAGTGGTTATAACATTTGTTGAGATATTTGGTCCTACATTGCTTGTATGAGTAACTAATGTAGAGTTTATAAGGCCTTGGACACTCACACCCTTTGAGCTAGCTTTTGAAGTGGTGTATCCTAAAATTCTTTACATGATATCAGAGCCTCGTGTCCTGGTCCTGGGTTCAAATCTCGTTGCCCCTCACTTTCTTTCCGGTGGAATTTCTTTCTTCGCACAGGTAGTTGGGTCTGTGCATTATCCACTCTTCCACCTTTTAAGCCCAGTGGACTCTCGTGTGAGGGGGCGTGTTGAGATATGTGGTCCCACATTGGTTCTATGAACAACTAATGTGACCTTCATAAGACCTTCGGCACTCCCACCCTTTGAGCTAGCTTTTGAGTGGTGTATTTTAAGGTTTCATACAACATTTTATACTTTTGGAAAAAAAAATTAATTTTTAAAATTTTTTTCCCCGTCATATTGCATTTTTTTTTAAATGACAAAATATTATATCCACTTGTATACAAGTGTGGTACTAAAAATTTATTCCTCAAAGCGAAAAGACGCCTACATAAACCAGATACGTAAGCGGTGACCTATTGGTTAGTGGGCAGAGAATATGACCGCCGTTGCGGTCTTTCTTTTTCCTGCCCCGACCCACTTGGATATATATGATAACCATCCCTCCCTCCCTCTCTCATTAGAATCTGAACCACAAGAATGAGGGCAATCTTGCTGTGGCGTATGTTTCTTGTTTTAAGAAACTCTAGTTTAAAATTTGATGGAAAAATATTATCATGCTACATAATATAAGTATTTATTCCTATATACTTTTTAATAACTGTATCACTTTTTACTTTTTATTTTTTTTTTATTTTTTCAGATGGTGGAACTCATAAGTTTGTCTTTATAATATGAGATAATCTATCTCCTTTAATATGAGATTAATAAAATCCAAATTTTATATAAGAAATGTATCTATGTTTAATAATTCTTTATTTTATTAATGTCATTTTTCATCGTATTAAACGAAAATATTCATAGATAATAATAAAATTTAAAAATAATTTAAATATTAAAATAAATTATATTTTGTTCTTTATTTCTGCATAATAAAAATAAATCCGAATAATTCAATTTTCAGTTCTCTCGGATTCATACAGGGAGTAGGATTAAAGTAATAATTATTTTAATTTAGGAATATTTATTTTCAGTTCTCTCCAAAAAAAAAAAATTTGGTAACAGTTCTCTCCATTTTAATTTCTAGGAATAAATTAATTTAAAGAATAATATTTTAAATTTTTATAAAATACTTCTAATCATGTCTAATATGTATAAGCATACTTCAAATTACAAACTCTATTTAAAGCCTCCTAACTTTGGAACTCTCAACCTTTCCTTCTCTATCATTTATTTGGGTTTCGGGATCCAAAGAAACGCTATTACGCGACTCAGGGATGACAAGCAAGGAAGCTTCATCGTTAGGAGAAGCAAAGGTTCCATTGTTGGAAGATAAAACTTTAGTAGATAGAGGAGAACAGGATCAAGATCTCGCACGAAGAGTTTGGGTTGAATCAAAGAAGCTATGGCACATAGTAGGCCCTGCAATTTTCAGCCGTATTGCATCCTATTCTATGTTAGTCATAACCCAAGCCTTTGCTGGTCACCTTGGTGATCTCGAACTCGCTGCTATCTCCATTGCTAATAATGTTGTCGTGGGTTTCGACTTTGGCCTCTTGGTATAGTATTATTATTATTCCATTTTTCCTTTATAATTTGTTTCAAATTAAGAAGACATATAAAAAAGGTAACTATTGAAACTTTTTATTAACATGATTTGGTTTTTGTTTCATTAGTTGGGTATGGCAAGCGCATTAGAAACGCTATGTGGGCAAGCTTTTGGGGCGAAGAAGTACTTCATGTTAGGAGTTTACATGCAGCGTTCGTGGATTGTTCTTTTCATTTGTTGTATATTGCTTTTGCCTATCTACCTATTTGCTTCACCTGTGTTGAAGCTGTTGGGACAACCTGAGGAATTGGCAGAGCTATCTGGAGTTGTATCCATGTGGTTGATACCACTTCACTTCTCTTTTGCGTTTCAGTTTCCTCTGCAGAGGTTCTTGCAAAGCCAGCTCAAAACTGCGGCTATTGCATGGGTTTCTCTGCTGGCACTCTTGGCACATGTGTTTGTTAGTTGGTTGTTCGTGTTCAAGCTTCAGTTTGGAGTGATTGGTGCTGCTGCCACCATTAACTTCTCTTGGTGGGTCCTGACGTTAGGCCTTTTTGGTTACACAGTTTGGGGTGGTTGTCCTCACACATGGACTGGCTTCTCCATGGAAGCATTTTCTGGTCTTTGGGAGTTTGTTAAACTCTCTGCTGCTTCTGGGGTCATGCTATGGTACTTGTTTAACTTTCTCTCTCTATTTCTTTTTGTTCTTATAAATGCTATGTATGTAATGTTCTGTCTTTATCAGCATCTTTTACATTGGATTTTTTTTTTTTTTTTTTTAATTTTTTGCGTTTTACAGCTTGGAGAATTGGTATTATAGAATTCTGATATTGATGACTGGAAATCTTCCCAACGCAGAGATTGCCGTGGATGCTTTATCTATATGGTAATTAATTTATGTATGTCTGTGTTGTGTGTTTGCAAAATCATACACGTTTGATTACCTGTAAAGTGACTGCAGTTTTTGGATTTTTCTTTCTTGTTTTCAATTCAAAAATTGTCTTCTTTTTTTTCTTATTAATTTTTTGGGCTGATATCTGCTGTGTTTGTTTGGCAGTATGACCATAAATGGTTTGGAAATGATGATTCCGCTGGCATTCTTCGTTGGAACGGGGTAACATATCTTATTTTAACCCTTCTATTCCGTTTCTTGTAGTGTTAGTTTTTTATTTGGCTACATGATTGTAATTTTTTTGGAGTTTTCTGCATAGTCCAAGATGTAGGCCATAACCTTAACTTGATGAGACCAAACCGCGTGCTAGTGCGCATGTCGCACGGCGGATTAACATGACATACAAATAATTTTCTAACAAGAAATATAAACCAATACTAAATTGAGGTGGTGATTGAAACGTTTGGACATTAATGCAGAGGTACAAATAAACACACGTCGACTTTACACGATCGAGTCTTTTCTCTATAATCACCATTCATCACGGAATCAACATCAGTGTCTGTATAAAAAATTAAGAAAAACATATGTACGGTGGCTAGAGAAAACAATTGGTGCCTAGTCAAAACCAAATTTTGCATTATTCATAGATGGAGTTGCTGTTTGTCGTGGAGCTAATGATAGGAATCATATGAATGGTTATCTATCAATTTAGAAGACTCTGGATTGGTAGTGAAGAAAAACTGTTGCGTCATGATACGCAATCCGACAAAGATTCCTTAGGAGTTTCTTTTCCCAAGTTATCACTTCTTCCTCCTTTCGTTTTTTTAAATAATTTTTATAATAAATATTTGACACGGATCTAGTTGAGACAAGGACAACCTCTGCATACTGTGCTATGATTGATCCATATGGAGGCTGTGACAATCCAGTTGCCGCAGTTGAATGTGTTCTATGAACATAAAAAATCATTATAGGTAGATTAACAACAAATGTATAGTCAGCAAAATGTCCTTGTTAGCCCCGCCATTACTTTCACAATACCATTAATAATTCAATTTACGCCATTATTTTTCCCTTTAGTATTAGAGAATAGAGACAGATATCACAGAGCCAAAACTTAAAATTTCTCTTTTTTTTACCCCCCCAAATCACGTCAAGATAATCATTGATTAAGTACTCATAGAAGGGTTCTCCCATAGTCCCAATCATTAAGTATACAATTTCAAGTTTACAAAATTTGTATTTTTTAAACTTCATGACATGATAATTGAGACCCATTTGTCACTTGAACGTGATTATAATGATTTTATGCACTTCAACAAAAATCTAAACACACCGTGAGCCTGTTTAAGGTTCCTTTCACTTGAATGTTGGAACTCCTACTTGCTCTCTCCTTAGCCAAAATGTGGTCTTTATAATAATATTTTTATTAGAGATATAATATATATATTTTTATTTAACATTTTAAATTTTTGAAAATGTTAGAATATGGTTTATCGTTCAATCTCTATCACCCAATAATTTTATATAAAAAATTGAATTTTAACGAAGAATAAGTCAATCTATGCATTAGTATAAATAACTCTTGCATATAGTATAAAGCCGTGGTTTATGATTGCAATTTTGTGGAGGAAGTTCTTTGCGGACTGGGCTGAAGTTCTTTGTGGACTGGACTATGCCGACATATTTTCATTTGAGAAAGTGAGACCCATGTCCATTTCATTGTATCCGTATGTTTCTCCCAGTGTAACATAAATTTTTTCGAGTTTCTAATAATTGTTTCAAAAGAGCTTATGGGTCATTAACTCCCTGTGTCTTTGCTTGCTTCACTCTAGATGCTGACCAGTGACCACCCCCCCTTTTTAGTGATGACTCTTATCGTATAACTTATAAACTATCTTTTAATTTATAACGTTATAAGAACTCAAAGTAGAAATATAAATGATAACATTGTAGCTTACCATGCAATCTACAGAGTGAGGGTTGCAAACGAGCTTGGTGCTGGGAACGGAAAAGGAGCCAAGTTTGCTACTATAGTAGCTGTGGTGACATCCATCATAATAGGACTCTTCTTCTGGATGTTGATTTTGGCATTTCATGATAAATTCGGGTATATATTCTCTAATAGCAAAGCCGTCCTTGATGAAGTAAACAAGCTTTCTCTTCTACTAGCCTTTACAATTCTGCTCAACAGTGTTCAGCCAGTTCTCTCAGGTATCACCTAAACCCTTCACCTTTCAGTTTTCAAATATTTGATCTGAAATGGGGACATAAAAAACCATATGCTATATATATATTTCTTTTTCACCCTTGGGATAATTTGAACAGGGGTGGCTGTCGGATCAGGGTGGCAATCGTATGTTGCTTACATAAATTTGGGTTGCTACTATATTATTGGGGTACCTCTTGGATTTGTGATGGGCTGGGTCTTCAATCAAGGAGTTATGGTATGTTTTCTTTCTTCCCCTCTTTCGTCTTGTTTCTAAAGTTAGTGCATTTTTTCTTTTTCTTTTTCTCACCTAGAATGTGAATTTCATATGTATTAAGATATAATTAATGAAATTGAGCAATCAGGGAATCTGGGCGGGGATGATTTTTGGTGGGACAGCAACTCAGACGTTAATATTGATCTTGATTACCATGCGGTGTGACTGGGACAGAGAGGTAACCTTACATAGAGCTATTCATCCCACGTCATGTTTTTAACTTGTGTTATTGGTTCTGACTTTAGATAATCTAATCTTATTTGATATATTTTATTGGTAAACAATTGCAGGCTGAGAAAGCAAAATTGCATTTAAGAAAATGGGAAAATCCAAAACAAGAACTGAACTAGTGCTTCTTTAAGACAGAAGAGGGGCAAGTGGAAGAATGAGTTTGCTCATAACTTCCTTGATGGGCTGGTCTCTTCGTAACCCAAGTGAAAGCCCAGTTTCTTTTTAAATCCACTCATTAAACAATAAGCCCAATAAATGAACTTCTTGGGTGGAAAACGTGGGCTATAGTTTTCTTCATTATACTTCTCTTGCATCTACTCTATTTCCCTCAACATGGCCCATTTATATCCTCCACTCTCTACTCTCTGTTTATCTTTCCATGTTTCTCCCATCTCTCCACAAGCAAGAAATGTCATCATGTTCCCATAAGCCATTCACGAAATTGTTTGATTTTGTGGATAAAATTACTTTCCATTTGGCGGTTTCTGAAGACAAATGTTTAAAGATCACTGTATTTATTTTTTCAAATTTTTTTATTAAAAAAAGAGTTCTTTGGAGGCGGGGACGGGGAGTGTTGCCTAATCCTAAAGTTGAATGTTCAAGGGAGAAGCCTAACTCAAACTAAGCAGGAGGTGTTACAGATATTAATATAAACCTAAGGTGAAGACTTAAGATGGTTGGTTGTTCTCTCGCAAAGTTTTGAATTTTATAGGTTTGAGTGAGTTTGCTTTGTATGTGGGAGGAGATTCTACCGTCCTACTTGTGACAGCTTGAAGAATTGTAGAATTGTGGGATGATGATTATTATTTAACTTTCGTTCAGCGCATCTTTTTTTTTTTTTTTTTTATGGGATTATTATTCTTATATTATATGAAATAATTTTATTTTTTACATATATATAAATATTTGTAGGCTTCGTGTTTTTATTTTTTTCTTTCTCTTTTTTCTTTCTAAATGGCTCATAACATATTTTATGTAATGGTAAGAGATAATCGCAAACATTAATCCCTTTCTTTATTGTGCTTGCATTTGCGTTTGGGCTTTTATGTCCTTTTAATGTGTCTTGGAAAAAACTTAAACGGTTAACTCATTCTGACTTATTTTATTTTAAAATATTTTAGACAAAAAAATCCCGAATGGTTTGAGAAGCATGTTTGGACTAGGCTCTTCTTCTTATTATTATTTTTAAAGATTTTGGAAAAAAAAAAAAAAAATTCTCGAATGGTTTGAGAAGCATGCTTGGACTAGGCTAATACCAACAACCAGAAGTTTATTTACCTTTTTCTTAAAGAAAAAAAAAACATTTTTCCTTAATAAAAAATTTTAGGCGATAATTTTTTTTATTTTTTATAAGAGATTTCAAGTTCTAGCTTTGAAAATTAAAGAAAATGATTGTCGAAAGAATTATTCATAAAATTCGACAGAACTCGAATCAAATTAATCGATTTCTAATTAATTACAAGAAAAATAAATAAAAACCAGCTGCTAAGCAAAAAAAAAAGTAAACAGAACATAGAAAGTGATGCTCCATTTCTCCTATTATTCAAAACAAAAATTATTAAGTAAACAAGTAAAATATTTTAATCTCAAAAATACATTTAATCCTTAGTTTTTTCTCCTACACATATCTGTGCAACATTTTTTTTTCTTTTTCTTTATTTTTTGAGATGATGAGACCTATATATTTATCTATATAACATGAGATAACTTATCTCTTTTAACATGAGATTAATAATATCCTTATATTAATTTGAGTTAATATAAATTTAGTGTTTTTGTACTACTGAAAGGTCGTATATTTGAATCCGAAGCTTACATGTATGTAAAGTAATATTGTGTATAAGGATATAACTCTCACTCCACTTTCCTCGGGAATATAATTGGAAGTGAATTTTTTATATTAATATAGGTTAATATTACTTTGTCAACTGTATCATTTTGCTTTCAAGTTGATTAGTTTGGCTAATACAAATCTCATTCAGTATCATTCTGTTAATTCCAAACGGTTGTCAATACTTTATTGCGGAATATATGGATGATGTTCATATGAATCGAAAATTTTCGCAGTATATTATGTATCATTTTTTAGATTTAACAAAAAGAAAATTTGTATAATTGATCAGACCAGATACGGTAGGGATGACCCAATGTGTATCAAGCCCAAATCATACACGGTTGAGACTCATTAGATGGTAACTGGCATGGGCCTGGTACTGTTGATGTGGGATGAGCCTAATCAGACCAGATAATTACAAATGGGCCGATCATGTGATCTTCCTTTACACAGCCTGTGATCGTCTTGGGTCAGAGCATCTTGCAGTTGGATCGCTTTATCCTATGGGTCTTCTGTGGAACGCGATGGGGGTGTACCTGCAAGACACTCTGACGCTCAAGTCAGTTATGGTTCAAGCATGTTTAAGTATGTAGAAGAAGATGATGTACCTTAGTGTTGATACATGTATTTATAGTGGAGAGATGAGCAGCTTGGGAAGATGTTACTTAGTGATCAGGTTTGCTTTGCCTTGGAGGCTAAGTAATTGAGCTGCCATGATTAAATGTTGAGGAGCTTGTTGTCATGGTGTCTTTAAGGTTGAGGAGCTTGCTGGCTGTCATGGAGCTTGTTTGTCATGTAGCCATAAATATTAAGGTGCTTGCTGAGATAGCCTTGGTGGAAGAGATAAGATAGCAGCATGATTTATTATGGTGGAGCTTGCAGCCTTCTTGGACTAAGGCTTTGCTTCGTTGTGAAGGCTTTTATGTTGGGCCTTGTATTTGCATAGTATTTATCCAGATCAGAAGCCCCCCAACTCGGTGCTTATGCCGAAGGCATGAGGAGCGAGATGTATAAGTATGCGAGATGATTTGTCTGTTTATCAGCCTAGGAAATTCATTTGACTTGCACCTGGAAGCTGCGTTGCGCTTGTTCCTTTATCTGGAACTATGGTCTGTACTTTGTATGAGTTCTGGAGAGCTTCATAGTTGTATCCTGCAGTTTTATACAGTTCATAATTCATAATGCATATATTTTGCGTACCTTTGTTATTGGCATGTTGTCGTATGCCAGATGTATCGCGCTTTAGGAAGGAGTTTGACCCTAGGTGGGATTCATCCTGCCTTGTATCGCGCTTGATCATGGAGGATCGCGATGTGAATGGTTCTGATCTGTTGAGAGGATCCTTGTGAGGGAGTCTGTTGATTGGAGGATTCGTGGAAGAATCCTATCAATTGGAGGATTCGTGAGAGAATCTTGTTACTTGATAGAATCCATGAGAGGTATCCTGTTAATTGGAGGATTCGCGAGAGAACCCTGTAAGTTGATAGGAACCGTGAGAGGTTTCCTGTAAATTGGAGGATTCGTGAGAGAACCCTGTAAGTTGATAGGAAACGTAAGAGGTTTCCTGTAGATTGGAGGATTCATGAGAGAACCCTGTAATGTTCTTCATTGCGCTTTAACTTGGAGGACTTTTCTTCTGTTTGGTGAAACCTTTAATTTCCATAGATCTCACATAATAATAACAACATATCATGGAGATGATAATTGTAACAAGATCATGTTAAAATAATAATGTTGCTGATAGGAAATGTAGCATTTGTTTTTGAGTTTGTCTGCATTTAACGCGAGATCTTTGTCTTCGCCTTTTAGCAGTCATGTAGCCCTGCAATCTCTTATGGATTTCACAATAAAAGTAGTTAAGATACCTCAAGATAAGGGCATATAAATCAGATAAACTGTTCTAAGTCTATCTGTATTTTCAGTGAGATTGAGATCTTCACTGTTTATTGTCCATGGGTCCCTGCAACTTGTATGAGTTTCATAACAGAGACATAAGATTATCAAAATAAGTCAGATATGTCACGATTTGTACTGCGTGAGCATCCTGTTAGTTTATGTAGTCTCACAAGAGATATGATCAAAAAGTGATGTGAGCATATATATGATTAAAAAGTGATGTAAGCATTCATAATACCTTCTGAAAGGGGCACATGAAGATTCAATATATGATAGCTTGCTAGGCCTTAATTTTATGTTTGTCATAGTTAAACCCTTGTAGCAGGACTAGGATGATTCATAAAAATGATTCATAAGCCTAGGATGTGCTCAGACTATACTTTTTTAATTTGACTTTTACTCAAAGCATCCTGCAACTAGGTGGTCATGTTGCCTTATATAACTGTAAACTTGTAACTTTCTGTGCCATACTGTGATCGTAAGCCTAAAAATATTCATCCTTCAAGTTCTTTTATTGCGACATATGGGACCTTCCAGCTCTATAAAACATTGTTTTAATAAACCTTTGGCAGTTCTGTCATCGTAATAATGATATCCAGCCTCACTAAATTTTGGCTACTTGATCAAGTAGATAGTTTGGTTACTGGATCCTTGAGTAAAGTCCCCAACAACTTTAAAGTTTAACCATGTAAAGCAAGTTCAGCTCATGATCATATCCTATAATGAATCCAATATACTTGCACGATCCAAATAAAATGGTAGTATACCAAAAGTAATGGCGCGATAACCAAAAAAGTTGACATATGGATCCTTTAAAGTTGACGTGGGTAAACTTTGGCATACGGTTCAAGGGTTGTGCAAACTCTAGCTTTGGTTTTGAATATTCTAATAAGGATGATGTCCAAAACATGGTCTCTCCTTGCACAATGATGTCCTAAAACTTTAAAATATTCTTCAAAAGGACAATATCCAATATCATGGCTTATCCTTTGGTGTGCGATACTTATCCCTTTGTGCTTCAAAGTAATAGAACAATTTTTATCGCGCGATAGATATGAATATGGCGCAACACATATAAATATGATATGTACAAATATGGGCTTTTCAATAAGCATTCGGGTTTGTGGTTTCAGAGAGCATAAAAGTGGACAGTAGGTAATGGTCACACGGTTTCCACATGTGAAAAGTTGATATCCCTCTCTTAGACTCGCGATATGTATGAGAAGTTTTTAATCATAGTGCCTATGAAAATAACTCAAAAACCCAATGGTCAGACTACAAGCATCCCTTGAACTTCAAATCTGGACATCAATAAGTGTTGCATCGCGCTCTCATTGTATGGGCATCGCGCACTATTGGGAGATATCCCATTAGAAGTGGGATTATTGCGCGGTAATCAGGATAATCCAATTGGCACGATGAAACATTTCATCCTTGCGCGCGGTAGACAATCATGGCTTATGCAATGATCATATATTTGCAGTAATAATTACCTCCAATCACGAAATATAAAAAACACAAGCAGAGTGCATGTACCTTTTTTGGGTAGGAGTTGGAGCTGTGCGAAAATAATAGCGAGATAGAAAAGTAAGAGTATTGGGGCTTCCCTAGTATCCTTCAGCGTTGGTTTTGCACATAGCGTTGGTTTTGCACATGGTGGTGGGAGTAGAAATTTTTCGTTCCCACATAGGGCGCCAATGATCAGACCAGATACGGTAGGGATGGCCTAATGCGTATCAAGCCCAAATCACACACGGTTGAGACTCCTTAGATGGTAACTGGCCTGGGCCTGATACTGTTGATGTGGGATTAGCTTGAGCTCTTTGTCCTTCGTCCTTCACGTTGCACCGGATGAGCCTGATCAGACCAGATAATTACAAATGGGCCGATCATGTGATCTTCCTCTACACAGCCTGTGATCGTCTTGGATCAGAGCATCTTGCAGTTAGGCCGCTTTATCCCATGGGTCTTTTGTGGAACGCGATGGCGGGTGTACCTGCAAGACACTCTGATGCTCAAGTCAGTTATGGTTCAAGCAGGTTTAAGTATGTAGAAGAAGATGATGTACCTTAGTGTTGATACATGTATTTATAGTGGAGAGATGAGCAGCTTGGGAAGATGTTACTTAGTGATCAGGTTTGCTTTGCCTTCGAGGCTAAGTAA